CACGACGTCGAATTCGTGAGCCCGGCGGAGGTTTTGGAAGCAGTCAAGGAACTCCGCCGCCTTAGGGACGAAGAGGGCACGATTCGGTACATTGGTATCTGTGGATACCCACTGGATGTGCTGGGCGACATGGCTGAGCTCATCCTACGCGAGACCGGCGAGCCACTCGATGCGGTGCAGTCCTACGCCAACTTCACCCTCCAGAACCAGTCGCTCGCCGGCCCGCGCGGTATCTTGCGCCTGAAGAATGCAGGCGTCGACGTCGTCCCGAACGCCTCCATCCTTGGTATGGGCCTACTGCGACACGACGGCATACCCGTTGGCGGCCTCGGAGACTGGCACCCCGCCCCATCCTCTCTCCGTGAGGCAGTGCGCAAAGCGAGCCACTTCTGCGACGACTACGGCGAGCGCATCGAGGTTATCGCCATCCGCTTCGCGCTCGAGACATGGATATCTGCTGGCGCACTGTGCGGATCCCGCGGAGACCCCGCATCAGGCGTGCCCTGGACACACGAGTCCATCGACGACGTCGGTGGCTCCAAGCTGGGTGTCAGCGTCATCGGTGTCTCGCGCGCACCCGAGTTGGAGAAGACCATGCTCGTTTGGCGATCCATTCTCGATGGATTGGAGGGCGGCAAGGAGACTGCCGTACAAGCTGGCCGCTGGTACCGCGCGTGGGAGTGGAGCAGGAACCGCAGGAAGGCAGTGCAGATACTCGCCGAGGGTGTACAAGAGGTGCTTGGCGACGGCTTTGGCTACGCATGGGCGAGCCCTTCTATTAGAGTTAACTCCGTTGCGTGCAAGGCGACGTTGCGTGCAACACTAGGACACCCTATTACCCTATTGTAGCTCCCGGAGCCACAGCTTTTCACGTCCTACCGCAAGGTACACAGGTCTTGCCTTAAGTCCAATTGATTTTCTTCTTAGTCTATCCATCAAACCACGCGTCGTCCACATCATAAGATAACCCACCTATGCTAACATTGGCGTGAATACCTTCATCCCATAGATACCCAGCTACTGGGAACAGCACTCCGCACTCGTAGCTCTCTTTGCTCCACGCTGAGAATGACATATTCTGCGTACCTACAAAGATTGACCGGTAGCGCGGAACCATATCCTTCACGCCAGGGCTGTTATCCCACCACTGGATCTGTATCGTCTTCGCGTGCGTGAGCCACCTCCCCTTCCTTATGTCCACCAAGCATTGATCTAGAATTGAGTGCATTCTTTGACCCTCTGCTGGTTTCTTCAAGTGGAACATGTAGCGTAGATCGCAGTTTGGGGCAGCGAGTGCTGATAAGCGGGAAGGGTAACAAATACGCAATCCCCTCAGCGCGTCCTGAACAACTACTTGTTCTGGCTCGCGGTCACGAATCGCGCCAAACAGCCGCTTAGCAAACATATCGCCAATGCGGCCAATTGTTGAAGTGCTGTAACACACATATGGAACAAGGTGTGTGTACTGTTTTGCTGGCGCAAGTCCAAGACTCGCTACAGCGCGCCTTAGCGATTCAAACCCAGACAGAGCTGCCCTTGGACCCCTTGATTGTTGTTAGCTAGAACTGATACTTATAGTAGTGCAACATACCCTGTGTATACAAAACCAAGGTGCGCGCATGCGCTGAAGTCGTATCGATTAATCGCTGCTAGCAACGACGGCTGAACCTGAAGGCATTGCAGAAAATCCTGAAACTCGGTTTGAAAGTCGGGCCGAGTTGGCATTGCCACTGTCGTAGTCCGCAAGGGAAGGTCCACTACAAAGGCGACGTTGTCCATTGAAGTAGACGCCTTCTCCCTGTCATCCGCGTGACCCTCATGACCCCATTCATTAGGAGTCAGATTTGCCGAAGCCACAACAACTCGCAACGTTCCATTCTTCCTAAAAGAAAGAAAGAACTTTGCGTGACACGCGCCGTACAACCGCAGGTTAGGTGGGTGATGGATTGTTCGGTTCCCGCCCTTGCGAGGCTTTCCGTTTGGTTCTCGGCTCGCGGTCTGGCCCTTGACGCTTCTGGAATCCACAATCCACGTGGACTTGACAGAGTCAAGTCGCATTGTTTCCATCAACCATCTTGGATGCCACGCATAGGAGCATAAGACTACTTCGTCTGTAGTCTTAATGTCAAGGAGCTCCTCCAATGTAACATCGTTGTGTCGAGGGTCGTCTAACAACCGAACGTTGTACACGCCTGGCGAGGAGAACGATTTAGGCGTAGGGAAATATCCCTCAGGGTACCTTAGCGTAAGGCTCTGGCGCTGTCGTTGTGGACGCGGAAGAGGGGAGGTGTCCTCTTCGCGGGGGCGTTTGTTTAGGCCGGCGCAGGTTGGCTTATGCGCTAGTGGGCTTGGTGGCGTTAAGAGTGCATGACGACGTTGTGGAGGTTCGTCATCTTGAGTAAGATCGATGCAAACCACGTGCCGCGTCTCGTCTGGGGTCTTTGGTGGGGAGGCGCTTGCTCCAGGCATGTTCTCAATAGCAGTTGGTGGACACAACTTGAAGACTAACGATTACTCTGTTTATAACAGCGTGCATTCTTATTTTTAATGCTGGCGCAGTTGTTCAACGCAGCATGCAGATTGGCTGTTCATCCTGCTGTGCGCGGCACGTTACCGCGCGTCCCTTGCTGCGTGCACGCCGCGGCACGCTGCGGGTTAGCTTTGATGATGCCGTGCGCTGCACGCCAAAGTGCTCCCCTTGCTGCGTGCGGGCCGCGGCGTGCAGGCGCTCCACGTGCGCTAACAGCACGCGGGTGCCACACCCGTACTAATCTACTGTTGTACCCCTGCTACCCCTTGACCTGTGTGGTCGCTACTTAGTCGCACTTATTGTTTCTGCTCCCGGAGCTGCGATGTTGCGGCAGGGTCTGTGCCTTCGAGTTCTGCAGCGAACTGCGGGGTCGCTTTTTGGTGAGAAGCCGTTATGCAGGGGTTGGAGAGGTATGCCCGGCAGTACGGCGGCCAGCGACCATTTCTGCTTAGCGTTGAGCAGTATTTTGTACGCTAGGCTAAACCACTGCTCAGCTAGCACCTGTCAAGGACCCAGTGCGTTACCTCTGGAGAAGAGCCATTGGCGTCGGCGGTGTCATTGTTGTCGGACATGTTGGATCTTCAAAGCGTGCCTGAACGTCGGTCGCATTGTGTTTGTCTCCTGTGATAGTTATAAGATACTTTTGTGGAAACGCTGAACTATGTAGCGTTAGCGTGACAGTTTGAATGGCATGCTGGTCTACGGTAGGTCCTCCTCGAGGACACACGCTACCAGCCAGAAACGGCGGCTTGCTAAGCGATGACGGGGGAGAGGAAGTGATAGTCTGTGTGGTCAGCGGTAGCGAAGACAAAAAAGCTGTAGAATTGAACATAGCATAGCACAACTTACCACAAGATGAGAGGAGAGATTGAGGAAGGCATTGCTTTCCCTTTGCTTTCCGGGACCTCCTAAGGGAGAAAGAGTAGTGGTATTCGAGACGCAATTGTGCAGAAAGAAGAAACTCTTTCAATGTCCGTAATTTCAACCTCAGTTTCTCTTCTTCTTTGTTGTCCTGCGACTCTTCTTGCTACCTCTCACGTATTTTAGGAACGCGATGTCATTTGCAAGCTCTTTCCAGCTTCTATTGACCGCGGTTGGATGCACGAACCTCAGGATAACAGCCGTGACTACCTCCCAGATGTTACAGCCTCGGACGATGAAGAAGACGGCCTAATACTATCACTTCTCTCTTCAAAGCCAGGGGTGATAGCACCAATCGTGTTAATCCCACGTCGTCAGGGATCAAGCGTTGAAGTCAGGATACCTGCAAGGATTACAAAGAGTGCACGAGGTGGAGCTCAATCAACATCCTTATCCAAGACCTCTGGAAAGCAACAGGCTCCTGAAGAAGGAAAGCCGATGCCCCACCGCGCAGGATCCGGCTTCGATCTGAATGCACCTGCAGAAGAAGAAGTTCCAAAAGAACAAGAATCTGGAACGCACAATGCGCATGACATCCAGTATACGATCAATCCCCACGAGACCAAACGAATCCTCTTTGGTATTCTAAGTTGCCCAGTCCCTTTAAGCACTTTTTATTATTTGTACACTAGGCTGGATACTTGCAGAGGCAGGTCCCTATCTAGGGCATACGCTACTAGCTAGAAGTGGGGGTCTGATAAAGGATAGCGAGAGAGAGGAAGAAACATGTGACGGGTAGGCCAGAGGGGTTACCAACTGCTGGAATAAGCTGACGCACCACGCACACGCCGAATTGATGCAGGAAAGACAAAATAAACTTTGGTACTCAACGCGCTTTACGCCTTTGTCTGAACTAATATCCAGATATAAATGTGGTGCGCAGTTGGAAGAAGCCACAAGAGCTGTGAAGGGAAAACCTAAAGTTATGGAAGAAGAGCGGTAGCCAATCTGTGTTTATGTGATCAGCGATAGCGAAGACAAAAAGGCTCCAGAAACGACCAGGGTATAGAAGGACTTACCACAAGATGAGAGCGGAGATCGAACCTCAGGTTCTCTTCTTCTTCGTTGTCCTGCGACCCTTCTCGCTACCTCTCACGTATTTCAGGAATGCAATTTCATTAGCGAGCTCTCTTGTGTTCCAGGTTTCCCAACTCTTGTGGAGCTTCTCAACTTCTTTCCTGCTGCCAAAGCTGTTGGCCACGCTTAGCTTGTATACTGTGCGGTTATCTTCCAGGAACAGCGCTTGGTTGATCAGTCTTCCGTGACAGTTATGTGACACTTGTATCAAGACGCTGAACTGTGTACAGTCGGCGTGATAGCACAAGTGGCACGTTGATTTACTGACGCGCGGATGATCTCCCTCCTCCCGAGCGGGTTCTCCTTCTTGAGAGACATCCTCTTCCTTATCTGATGTCAGTACCTTCATAGCTCAGACAGTTTCTGTACCTACTCTGTCTTGGTTCCTGACCGTCGACTCGCTCGTGAACCTGTTCTTCAGAGGCTCGTCATTATCTCAAGAAGAGTGACGCTGAACCTGCCAGGCTTGAAGATGCCGACGACATGCTCGACGACGTCAGCCAATGTCTTCATTGGTGTGGGCGCCATCACCCTCGCTGGCTGGGGTCTCCGGTGCAAACAAGATCTGCACGAGGGCCAGTTCATCGATACCTACCGCGGTGAAGTCATAACAGATGCCGAAGCCACGCGTCGCGAAACCTCGTCTTCAAAAGCAAAAGCATCCTATCTGTATTCGCTCGACAAGTTCGCTGGGTCAGAAGGCCTCAAAGAAGAAGACCTCTACGTTGCGGACGGCGAGTTCATGGGTGGACCGACAAAGTTCATCAACCACTCATGTGATCCTAACCGTAGGCAGTACACTGTCTCCTACAACAAGCACGACCCGAGAGATTATGACATCGCGTTCTTTGCACGGAGGCTCATTCCAAAGGGCGAGGAATTGACTTTCGACTACCTTGATAAGGAAGAGGGGGAGGGGATGGATGAGCCGGGTGAGGGGGCGCTCCCTTGTCTTTGTGGGGCGAGCTTGGTGTCATTACCCTCGGCTTTCAAGATAGAAGTGATGGGATTGCGCTGTCGTCTTCACCGGCGTCCAGGTGCTACTACCCTCGGCTTCCCCTGATGCCCCCAGCATGGCGAGAACAACTCACTGCCGGAGCCAAGCCTCTAAACAGATACCAGAAGGGCACTTACTCTTTCGAAGACAGAATTGATAGGATTAGGCTATTGTCCCGCTTTCTCTTTCATCATCTGTATGGCGCGCCTCGATGAGGATCTCTTGCCTTCTCTCTTTTCTCCACGTCCTCCACGCTCAGGGAAACCATCCTCTGAAGGCGCGATGCGGTACTCGCCCTTCGCAGAAGACCACAGTCAGGTGCACAAACTCCAGGACAACAGCCGGGACTACCTCCCAGATGTTACAGCCTCGGACGATGAAGAAGACGGCCCAAAACCATCACTTCTCTCTTCAAAGCCAGGGGTGATAGCACCAAGCGTGTTGATCCCACGCTGTCGAGGAGGAAGCGTCGAAGTAAGAATACCTGCTGGCATAGCAAAGAGTCCGAGAGCCCAAGCTCAACCAGCACTCTCGTCGAAAGCCTAAGGAAAGCAACGCGTCACGAAGAACAAAAGCCAAGAGACAACCGCACAGGCTCCGGCTTCAACGACAACCGCGACAGGATCAAGCGGTCGCGTCGCCGTCTCAACTAGCTTCGAATTCAACAGCGACGGGATTGAGCTGTCGCGTCGCCGTCTCAACTAGCTTCGAATTCAACAGCGACGGGATTGAGCTGTCGCGTCGCCGTCTCAACTAGCTTCGAATTCAACAGCGACGGGATTGAGCTGTCGCGTCGCCGTCTCAACTAGCTTCGAATTCAACAGCGACGGGATTGAGCTGTCGCCTCTTCGTCTCAACTGGCTTCGAATTCAACAGCGACGGCATCGAGCCGTCGCTTTACCGTCTCAAAGACCTTCGAATGCAACCGCGTCCCTTGTCGTCGACGTGGTTGTTATTATCGTTCCCCTTGATAGGGTTCTCACGCGAACCCGATGCAGCCGCCGCGTCATCGTCTTAATTGGCTTCTAATACAACAGCAACGGCATTAAGCTGTCGCTTTATCGTCTTAAACACCTTCAAATGCAACCGCCTCCCTCGTCGTCGACGTGGTCGTCATCATCGTTCTCTATCACAGGGTTCTCACGTGAGCCTAATGCATTGAGGCTACCTAGGTAGCCTCTTGGGATCTAGCGGGTCTTGACGAGTGGCATCCTATCACGTCGACCACTAAGCCGCCGCTCAGCTGGCACTCGATGAAGGACCTAGTGCGATGTTTAGAGCAGATCTAGGACTACCTTGAAGGGAGGGAGAAGTAAGCGGCATCTTAGTGATAGATTTCGGCATCGTACTAACCTATCAAGGAATCCACCGCTGCCTTCAGACATAAAACCTTCGAGGAGAAGAAAGAGTCCTGATGGGGGTTCTTCGTTCGAACGCCGCTTTTCACCATGCGATTGGCGATTACAAGAGAGTTGTACGCCGTTAGCCTCTCGATCTTCATCCGTGTCATCTGCAGCAACAGTCACGTCTCCAGCCAGTGACTGTTGCTTCGTTCTCGTTGGCCAGCTGGGGAATCTAGTGGGAGACAATGTATTTTCGGAAGTCGACTATGGGTCCGGGTGTTGTGAGGGCGATGTCGAAGCATTCGGTTCGGAGGCGCTTGATGGCGGCGACACTGTCCTTGCGCTCTACTGTAATCTGGCCAAGTCGAGTGCGGATGGCGCGCCGGGCATCACTAATGGGACCTTTGAGGGGAGAGGTTGGCTTCTTGTGTTCCTCCCAGAAAGCTTTGCGGAAGGCCTTCATGCGCTGGTGGAGTTCGAGGTATTTGGCGTGAATCTGATCGGCGCCGTGAGATGGGCAACACCCGAAGCCGGATCTAGGTCGTACAGAAGTGGAGGAATCTGCAAAAGCGCGAGTCTCCCAGATGTTCGTTTGACAGGCCTTGGTCGCAAGATAGGCGAAGTGATGCGACTTTCACTGCGGACAATACTCATTTCCTTGTGTTTCCTGCGTTCCTGAAGTTACCTATCCTGGTTTAGCGTCAGTTGTACCGACGCACCCCATCATCGCGAAATACATCCAAGACAAGAAGCAAGCGTGGTTATACAGCAAGCAGGTCTGCATTATTCTAGATGAAGCAACTACTATTCGCAACCCACTTCATTAGTCAACAGCAGTATGTACAACGCGCATCGACGTCCTCCCCCTTGCAAAACCATCTCTCAACCAGTCCTTCAACCGTGCGGCCCTGCGAAGCTCACGTATGCAATATCGCCACTTCTTGCAAGAGATCGTGCGCCCCATCCTCATTCTTCTTGGTGAAGAACCGTTCTGTGGCGTCCACTAACCGCACAACCAGATCAGAACCTTTGCTGTAATGGCCATCTGGACCAAGTATGCGTCTCGCCCTTCCCAAGAGGGCTTTAGCCGTCGATGATGTCAGACTGTCCAAATCACCCATGCCGTGCAGCAGCCAGCCTCGTACGTCGTCGCGCATGGTACAGGCCGCCCATGCGTCCACAATGACATGCTGCCATACGATGCAGCACTTGCCATATCCTGGACAGTGAGGTTGGGGGACCTTGCATTGAAAACAGCCGGTGTGGTTCTGCATCTTCCAGCCGCCCTCTGACGCCCTCCTCGACCAATGCATTGATGCCGTACCAAGTTCAACAGTCAGGTCGGAGCCCTGACACTCTGCTTTGGTGTGATGGAATTCGCGTCCCTCCTCGAGCGCGCACACTGCGCAATGCGTTGACCAGAACTCCAGCATGGATTTCACTCGGTCAGAGCCACACGGCGTCTCGACGCTGTTCCATACTGCCATCCATTGCCAATTTGTCCTGGCTCTGTTGCGGTCATCGTCTGTTGCCCTTGGGGGCACCACGGCTGCCGGACTTCCATATGAAGGTGGTGGTGTTCTGGATGCGCCTTCATTACTAAACATGTACTCCTTGTCTCTTCCACGCGGGGTGGCTGACACTGGCGTAGGCAGGGACCGTTGAGCCTGGGTCCTGCAAGGCGTCACTGGCAGTGCTCGCCTTTGTGCGGGTGAAGACCCGGCAGCGTGGTTGGTACTGCGCTGCGGCGACGTCTCCTGTCCGACACGTGACTTGCCAGGGTCCTCGCGTGGCGGCGGCGGCGGCGGCGGCGACGGGGACGCCCTGTGCGCTCGGGCGCTACCGCGCGCCATGGGCGTCGCGTCCGGTTCAGGTGTCGCATCACTCTGGTGCGCGTGCAACCTCTGCCCCAGAGCCTCTCCTGTGCCTCCCTCTAGCACGTCCTCGTCGTCGCTCTCCTCCTTGTGTCCTGCTCCTTCCGCGCCCGGCACCACGCCAGTACCAGCCAGTGCGTGCCACACACACACATCACATCGCCGCTCTTCCCCTTCAACGCATCCCTCGCGCGTGTCATCCCCATCTATGTACGCGGCGATTGCCTTGCGCCGGCATTTTGCCTCCGTCCACGGCACTTCCAGCTGCGTGAAGGTCTGCATTACCTCACGGTTGCGGGTCTGCACCTCCGCTGGCGCCTTCGAGGGTAGGGTGTACTGCACGCCTGAGAGCACAATCACTTCTGCGTCTCGCCCGTCGCGACCTGCACGACCTGCCCCTTGTACAAACAGTTCGAGCGACTCTGGCTGGGTGACGTAAATGACGTCGTCCACGTCGCTTACATCCAGCGAGTGCTCCGCCGCGGTTGTCGCCCACAAGACCGCGCCCTCCGTCTCACGAAAGCCGTTGAGAACGTCCTCTTTTTCGCCCGGGTCGACCTTGGAGTGGTACACCAAATAATGTGGAGAGGCACTGCCCCTCTCATCAAGGATTCCCCTATGGTCCAGGAAAACGATTGTCTTGCGCACCCTGCCAGCCTGGTTGCGTCCCGCGCGTAAACGATACACCTCCACAAAATCGGCTGCCCGGCGTAGGCCGCACAAGCCCGCTCTACCCTCGATCTCCTCCAGCGCGTTCCTCACCGAGTACGCCGCGTTAGGTCGTCCAACAGACACTCGCAACGTGCGTGTGCACTGTGTGCTCAGGTTCATCGCGTTGAACAGCTCCGCCTCTCGCGATGGAGGGAGCGTCGCGGTGAGGAACAGCAAATGCGCGCCCATTGTGGTCAGGATGGACATGTGCGTGACCGCACTTCTCCAGTACCTTGCTGTCAGGACGAGGTGGGCCTCGTCAATCACGACCCGCTCCAAGCGGTCCTGCGCTTGAAGCAACCGTAGCCCCGCTCTGAAATTCTCAGTGTTTAGGTGTTCTACCATCACAACCACTACCCCCGTGTCAGGGAACATGCCCGGCCTGGCGACACTGGTCGGTCTCCACACAAGACATGGGATCTGCGCTTCTGCGCATCGACGTTCAACGTCGACTCGAAGCGCAATAAATGGCGTGACAATCATAGTCAGGTGCGCTCCGGGGCGCAGCGTCGGGAGGAGCGACAGCACCGTCTTTCCGCCTCCGGTCGGCTCCACCACCAGCAAGCACTCGCCCCGGCCGTTGAACAGGGCATCCAGCGTTGCCCATTGCCGCTCTCGGAAGACGGCTTTGTCGTCCTGCACCATGGTGCGCAGCCAACGCCGCGCCTGCTGCTCTGTCACCAATGGTGTCTCGTCCCCGCCGTCGTCGCTGCCGTCGTTGTTTTGGCTCACGTCGTCGGCCTCGACTTTCTGCTTCACCTGACGAACATGTCCGCCTGACTCTTGTGGCCTCTTGCGACCCTGACGGTGTGCTACAGCATTGTTGTAGCGTTCTAGGGCGGAAGGGAATTTCAGAAGCTTGTGCCAAAACTCGCCCACTGCCATCCACTGCTGCATCGCCAATTCGTCAAGGTTGGGATGGATTGTTTCGTCGCCGTTGTAGTTGGTGAGCTCCATCTGCAAGGAATGGCCGGTCTGTTCCGCCAAGCGTTGGCGTCTCCGTACCTCTTGGCGAAATTCCTGAAACTGTTCTTCGCCAGCGGCGGCGGCGGTCCTTCCGCCTGCGCTGGCGGCCTGCACCAGATCGTGCTCATCGACGTTGTCGCTGTCCTTCTCAAACAGGTGCCCCTCATCGTCGCTGTCGTCGCTGCTGGTGTCGCCTCCGCTGTCGCTGTGGCGCCTCCGACCCCTGGCGGCACCTCCTCGTCTCCTCCTCAGAACCGCCTCCGCCCCTCCCTGGAGCCCGTCCGCGTCTTGCGCGAGACCTCTCACGTTTACCATATCAGCTGGTATGTAGCGTAATACCAACTGGGTAACTAACTGCCTCGCAGGCTGCAATGTCAATCCCCTGCCGAGGACGGTCGCGGTGGCTTGGCACACCGCCGGCGATGCCCACCTTGCCACGTCTGTTCGCTTCCCTCGCGGTAGTTGGAAGAGAAAGCCTTGGTCTTGCTCCTTATGTTGGAGCGGAGACGATGCCTGCAACAGTTTCCAAAACGGCAACACAAGCCATACGTACAAACCCCATAGCTGTGCCACCTCGTCCGGGAGAACATGCATAGGGGCCTCGTGCCCGGCCCAGGAGGTCTTTGTATACCCTCCCACCAACGTCAAGCGGCCGCGCTGCACCACCAAGTTCCGCTTCTCGCTGCCATTGTCGTTGTTGCGCCAGCGAATGGTGGCTGCGGTTGTGGCGCGCATCGACATTGTCATTCCCAAGACCGCCTGCACGACACCGGAGGACGCAAATTTCTCCATGCTGTGACGGTAGTTGACCACCGCCCTGTCCATAATACGCGACTTGGTGGCGTCCGCAAACTCGTCCGCGCACGTGGTGGCAATGTGGTCTTCAAGCCAGCCGTTGCCATGCGCCAGCGCCCTGTCGTTCACGGGATCCGTCCAGCAACTCTCAAACGCGCCATTGCGCACAACATCCACCAAGCGCTCCCAAGGGATTGTCGGCACGTTGTCCAGGCTGTCGACACGCAGCAACTCGTTGCACAGAACACTCCGCTGCTCTTCCAGCAGACCTGCGACAATAAGGCCTAGCTGGCGGAGGCCAAGCCGGTGCTCCCCGTACAGGAAGGCCTGGTCCTTCTCGAGCCATGTCATTTTGCCGGGCTGTCGGTGCGCCTTATGCACGGCGCGTGCGTACCGCTTCCTGTCTGTAACCCAGGCCATGGTTGTGTTGACGTTTGTCATAAGTGCCTCTTCCACCAGGACCCGTAGCTCGGCCGTGTCGATACATATAGCGTTCACCGCGCACCGGGCCATCTTGGTGAAGTGCGTCATCATCGAACTGTACTCGTTTGCGGTTTTGAATCTCTCCTCCTGGGGTACAATTCCCAGGACCGTCAGCGCCACTACCAGGCCCAACTCAGACGACTCAGTGTCGTCGGCGGTCTGCCGCAGTAGTTGCACGAACAACGCCAGCACCAGCCTCTCTGGCGCGGTAAGGACGGTGCCATTAGGCAATCGTTCCCGGCCGACTAGGTCAACCTCTACCCCCCTCTCCAGATGTTCGCGCAAGTTGGTCCATGCAGCATCCACCTCCGCATTGGTCACGTACGCTGGCACTTCCGCACGAACCTCGCTGCTCTGTTGTGTCCGCGTAAAAAACGACAGACACTGCTGGACCACCCTCGCAGCTGTCTTGACAGTGGTGTCCGCCTCGTAGGGGCCGACGGGCCTGATGACGGGCGTTCCCGGGTCCACCTGCCCCAACATCTTCCGTCGATAGTCCCCTGTCTTTCCCAGGGCGGCATGACACTTTAGCAGCAGCGTCCCTGTTATATCAAACACCTTTGCAGAGGTCTCGTCTACATCCCCATCTGCACGATCAAGCACCTGTCTTGCGTTGATGCGGTGGAGCCCCTGCATGGTGTCGGCGAAGCCAATGGCTTTCGCCCAAGGGTTCGTCTCATATCGACTAGGTGGAGCGATATGTAGACGCCCCTGCTTTTCCTGTCTTGCGACGACCTGCTTCAGCCCGGCGAAGACTCCCAGCAACTCGATTGTTGGAGGAGCTGGCTTCGCCTCTGGTTGGGAAGCCAGGGCGACATAGCATCCTTGACCAAATACCCGCTGTGCTCTAACCGCCTTGCCCCACGCTGGTACATCGCTACCCGGCTGTTGGTTGTCGAGGCGCGTCTGCAGCGCGGTCGCGTTGCCCGGACGGCAGGCGCGCGCAAACTCGGTGATCCCATGCTGGGTCCTCAAGTGGTCTCTCCAGGCAGATTCGGGCTTTTTCGTCTCACCCCTGGAGACGGGGATGAGCTTCTTGCAGTCGTCCACAGGACACAGAAACGTATTCACTACGGCGATAAACGGAATCGGTTCTGGTAGTGTCTGTGGTGCGATCCAGGTATCCTTGCCACGGCCCAAGTTCTCGCGGTTGGCTTCCCAGAACTCGAATACCGCTTCGAGCTCGGCATCGGTCGCCTCCGGAGAGTGTCTACCTTTGCGCCAGTGGCTTCTCACGTGTGCTTTCGTGCCTGTCGACCCCACCGCCTGGCCGCATAGCGTGCACACTAAGAGTCCGTGCGAAGCTTGCGGCACGGGAATATACCAAGCGAGGGTGCGCTGTTCCAACAGTGCGTCCGTGGACGCAGACGCGTCTCCGCCCTCGCTGCGCTGTACCAATGGCGCCTCAGTGGACGCAGACGCGTCTCCGCTCTCGCTGCGTGAGAGGAGGAACGCTCCTTCGTCCACCGCCGCTTCGCAGCTGATATCGAGGGGGGGGACTCCGTCTGGCATGTCAAGACAGAAGTCGTATTGCTCGTCGGGGAAGCCAAATCCGCCGGCTACGAGCTCCCACCCATTGTCGTCCAGGTCCGTCATGTCGGTGGTGGCGTACACAGGGTTCACCAACTCGTCCATCGTCGTGGTCAGGAACTCGTCGTCACCTAGGCACCGTCAGAACGTGCACTATGGACACCGCGATGCCCGTTATTACGTACCGTACATGCCCGACGCGTTGAACATGGGATAGTCCATGGTCGGTAGTTAGAAAGAAAGCGTGTTGCTTGAGTTTGGAAGTAGATTTTGTTGCAAAAGGTATGTATGTGTACCACTGTGTCTTTTCTCTTGTATAACGCGTTGGCTTTGTGTGTGTATTCACGCGTTGGTATTGCTACTTTAGTATCATCTTTCTGACGCGTCTCGCGCTATCCTTTATTCTTGGTCAATAGTCGCGAAACCTTGCAACCATGCTTGGGACCGTTGTCGTGCCGCGGAGTCTTCCAGCGTGTGGGCTCCCTCCCACAGCTCCGCGAGCTGCAGGAACGCCCGCGCTGGGCCTCTGTCGCTGCAGCCGTCATTCAGATGCTCCGGCGACAGGGTACACCTGCCAGGGAACATGCTTAGGACCGTTGTCGTGCCGCGGAGTCTTCCAGCGTATGTGCTCCCTCCCACAGCTCCGCGAGCTGCAGGAACGCCCACGCTGGGCCTCTGTCGCTGCAGCCGTCATTCGGATGCTCCGGCGACAGGGTACACCTGCCAGGGAACAGGTTTCGAGAGCCTGTTGCTGCGCCATATCCCGACCGTGTTGGGCGCGCTCCCTACGCTGGGCTCGGCTCCGGGAGACGAATCCACCATGGCCGCCCTCGTACGTTCTTGTGTCTTTTGCGCATTTGGTAGGCTAGTAGCTCGTTCTGCACACGCATTTTCTCTGTTCGTGTAGCACTGCCAGCGGTACTGCTGCTGTGGAGGCCTGTAAGCCAAGTTCATTGTCTATGAGCCTTGCCCTTCCCACGCGCACCTTGGCATATTTTTTCCCGCAATCTCCTGCCCGTGTACCACCCATGCCTCTGTGGGATCGCTGTCTCGTCGGCGTTCCCAACGTGGATGACGTTGGCGACGTTGCACCCCGCCTTATTCCTACCAGCGCTGCTGCAGTAGCGCGAACCTTGGATGCCGCCGTCGTCTTAAGCGCGTGCACGGATACTCATGTATCGCGCTTGCCTGCAGCGTTAGCGTGTCTTGCACGCGACGGCTGCAACGCCTGCTAGCTCGTGGACCGTTCGTGGCTCGGTCTCACCAGGCACCGTCGCCCAGCTCGCTGCCCCACGGAGAAGATCCGCCCTCGTCACACGTCCAGTACATCTCGTCCTCTTCTTGGTCCAAGATGGCCTGCCCAATCTGGTTCCACTCCTCCCACGCGTCGTGTTCTCGTCTCAAACCGTCCCGCTCCAACAGTGCCATTCGCTCTCTGTCCTCCCATTCATCGTGCATGTGCATATCGTATAGGAGGAGGTCTCGGAATGCGTCGTCTTCTTCCAGTTGCACTGCACTCTCTCGCCTCGCGTTCCAATAACTTTGATCTTTTGCCCACGCGAGGAGCGCCGTTGTCACAACGCGTCGGTATGGTGTCTCTGCGTCTGTCCGCTTCCGTTTCTTAGCGTTCGGCGCTAGTCCAGGGGTTGATGGCGCCGGGTTTTTCATGGTGCTGCTACGAGGCCTGTCCCTCTGGTGTGTGATGTTGCCCGCGCACGTCGTCTTGCTTTGTAGGGACTATCTGCATCCACATTGTTGCCAACGTCGGTGGTGAGGCTGCCGTGGGCGTTGACCTGACCATCGTGCTGCGTGCGTGCCACGGCCCCTAACGGAGGGTCGCTAGCGGTGCAGCCATGTCTAGGGTCCGTTGCAGCCCTGCTTAACCGTCGTCTCTAGAGCCTGCTAAGGGCCGAGCATGATGCCTATCGTCTGTGTCGCGTCGTCTTCATCTCCTCTTCCCTCCCCACCCCGTCCTTGGGTAGGATCTACGGCATCTCTTTTCCATCATGTCTGACGTCGCTACCTTATTCTCATCATGCGATCTCAAGAAGCTGGCGGTGACGGCCGAAGAACTGCGGACACTTGCCGCCGTGGATCACCTTGGAGAGGAAGAAGTCTGTTGGCTACTCGACCCGCTGAACCCCGATCGGTCTACCTTTGTCGCTCCCACTCCGTGGGCAGCGCTGCAGTGGATTTGCCGCGTCGCGCGGCAGAAGCCTCTTCTGAAGAGCGTCCGGGATCTGAAGAAGCGATCACGTGCAGAAGGGGATTCCGATGAGGACTCGGACGGCAGTCGGCCTTCTAAGCAGGCCCGCAGCGGCGGGTCCTCGAACACCCGGAGCGCGGAGCAGAAGCGGCAGTTGGAGGCCAAACTTCAATACCGTGACTTTTGGCACAACTCGCAAGAGGCGCAACGGAACGCGCGCGAGGAGGATCTATTCAACAACGAGCGCGCCCAATGGCTCCGGTTCGCCGGCGCGCAACCGGAGGGCAAAGGGGTCGGCAGCGCTGTCATGGCCGAGGTGGTGCGTCGTGCGACCACAGTCGGGAATTCGGACGCACTGCGAGAGTTGCAGCTCAGTCTACAGAATTGGCGCGAGCAACATGCTGAGCAGGTTTCAGCGCCGTCTTCCCAGCGCCCCTCGCAGACACTTGTGCGCCGCCTTACGCAAAGGCAAGGTCGTTCCTCGTCTCGGTACCACTATCGCCATCTCAAAAAGTGCGAGCAGTTGGGCGCGAGGTTGTCCATCGAGCGTCGTTACTCAGCAGCGCGCCTGCGCGCTGATTATGAATCTCGCCTCGGCGACGACCCAGACGGCGTAACGACGCACGCGCGCCAACGCATTCAGGCCCAGTTCTTCGAAGAGTTGGATTCCTCTGGCGAACCAAAGCGCTCTAATCCTCACTTTTTGTGGTTTCAGCGCACGTTGAAACACGGCAAGCGATGGCTTTCCCTTGAGGCAGCGTTTGGCAGTGGCATTTTCGCCCTGTTGCCGCCCACGCGTGTGCCCAACACGTACATTGAACGCACGTTAACGGATGAGTTGTTTTCGCTGTGGATTCGTCTCATTCTGCACTGCCGTCCGCTGGTAAAGGTCATGTCCACGCGTGTCAGCGGTGTGGTAGAGGGACTCGCGGAGAACATGCTGCCGCCAGCCGATCGTCTCGCTCTGGAGATTTTCGCCGAAGACCTAGACCCGGACGTAGAGGCAAGTGACGAGCTTGCTTCCCTTCTCGAACCTCATACGATGCATGGGCGCGTCAGCGAGATAGGTCAGTCCGATCTCGAGCCCACCCAGAGTGCGGTCGCATCGCGCCGCTTCAGCAATGTTACTTTGCCTGACAGTCAGGAAGTGGAGGAGGACGAAGAGGCAGAAGACAGGGACGAAGGGGACGAGGAGGAGGAGGAGGGCGAGGAGGATACGGGTGCTGGCGCAGAGGAGGCGTGCAGCCCTGCTGTACAATCCCTGAATCCACCGCCCTCGAACCAGCAAGCCTTGTTCCTTTCCCAGGCGAATGAAGGGTGCCCTGATCATGAGCGCAGCAGTGCGTTATACGGTTCTGTTCCCCAGGACCTTTCGCAGTGGTCGGAGGAAGATGTAGTTGCGTGATTGTAGTAATGCATGTTATAATGGATAGCCTAGTTGATGGTATCGGATGTTGATTGTGCGCTCACGGCGCAGCTGTAGTGACTCTGTGGTATGCGTTGGAAAGACCATAGGACGAAGATGAAGAACCAAAGTATCGCATCGCACTCCGATGAGAGTCAGAGTTGATCGGCTTCGTCTTGTTTCGCAGCCTCACGCTCCCGGGCAGCTGCGAGACCCAGAGGACTC